CCCCAAAACCCCAAAACCCCAAAACCCCATGAATGAAAATTTAGCAATAAAATGCTAAAATTTTTAATCAAAGTATTAAATGATCTCAATTTTTATGTTTAAGAAACTCATCGACATTTTCTACTAGTAGCTAAGGAATGCTGGGTCCAAAGTAAATCTTTGTATTATTTGAAAAACTTTCAATGGCAAGTTTCTTGAGATATTCGGTACTCAGCTGCTTTTGTTCAGCCTCAATCATTCTAGATATCTTGTAATAATGAGCATCAGCTTTAGATCTTTCTTTTTCCAAATAAATTGAATTTTCAATAGCCTCTATAGTCTTTAATGACTCTTTTTGAAGAATGTTCTTCTCCATATCAATTTTGTTTACTTCTGCTTAAGACTCTGCTTCAATCTTTCTCTCAAGTCTCACTGTTTCAGCCTCTATAAAGTATTTTATAAATAAAAACAATACTCTTTGATGAGACCTTTTACTCTTACTCAGCAATCAATAGTTGAGTCTTTTAGGCTTCTATCTTTTCATAGTTTTTCAAAAGAGTGTCAGGGATTCTGGGTTTGGTGACTCTGATAGCAATAATCTCTATACCTGGTGCCCATTTGTTGCAATCATTTTAAAGTGAATTGGCAAGTTGTTCATCAAGTGCATCAAACTTATCAATAAATACTTCCTAAAGAGTATGTTTACTGCAGAACTGATTGATCTCATGACTAAATTAATATGGTAAAGATACGTGTCATTTGGATAAATTTAAAGAAGACTTACTGAATTTTGTCGAAAATCCAAGTTTTATCATAATGAATCGTGTAGTTCTTAATAGTGTCATAAACAGAATCCTTTCTTAGCCTATTAACTACTTCAATATGATCAAAAGTGATGACAACTCCACCAGCAGTTCCGCATGGGATATTAATGACTTTATCTGTCTAGACTGTGACTTAGATATTCTCAAAAGATGTTATCAATGGAAGTTTAAAGTGAAATCCTGGCTCAGTAGTTGATTCTAAAAGTGCACCTCCTCTATAATAAACTCCTACATGTCCTTCTTCAATAATATGGAAACCATTGAATAAAACAAGTAGTGCTGGGAATAATAGAGCACAAAGGAAACAAAAAAGCTCGAGCTGGGCCATTTTAATTAGTAATTTATGATAAACTAATGAAACCTGATTTCCTTTTCAAAAGCACGGGGTTTTGGGGTTTTGGCG